TAACTTAAAAATAGATAGAAGTTTTTCACAGATGTTAAAAAAGGGGTCAGAAAATGGACCAAAAAATGTTTAAATAACTTTAGTAATGCAGATTTTTATACAAAGAAGTCAAATATGTCTACCATTTCTTAAATCTTTATACTAAAATTCAGATTAAGTTCTTAAAAAGTGGACATTTGTACAAGTTTTTGGGGTAACTAAAATTATCTAACTCAAAAATAGGTACAAGTTTTCCACAGATTTTTAAAAAGGGTCAGAAAATACATAAAGAAATTATCTAATAACTATAGTAAGCAGTTGATGAATGAAGTTGAAGATTTTTACCATTTTGTTAATCAATATACTAAAAGGCAGACTATGAGCTTCCTTTTTGCATTTTTGAATCCTTTTTTTTCATAAGGTAAGAAAGGTTTTTTTTACTAGGTTAAACTTAGAAATATCTAACATAAAACTGATCAAAGTAATAACACATAATATTAGAGAATAGAGAACCAGTGCTTTTTTTTGGTTTATAATTCTAAGTGATCACTACTTTTTGGGGTATACTTCTAGAAAGTATAGACTAGTAGTAGTGTATGTAGTAGAAAGTAACCCAAAACTAAGTAAAAATATTCTCCAATAACATTCAAACCTAAACCTAACCCTTTTTTACTATAGATGTTTCCAAGTCTCCAAAAAATCATGCAAAAAGGCTAACAAAATTGCTCTTCTGAAAGTCATAATCTGAATTTTACTATAGCAAAAATAACAATGAACAAATTTATGGATTTTATAAACTAAAATAGTCAGCAAACCATCTAAAAGCTGGAAAGAAGGAAAATTATACAAGAAAATATGTTTATTGACATTAAAAATTTATATTTTAAAGCAAATAGTTTAAGAAAATAAAACACAACGAGTACTAAGAGTTAAACTACTTTAAAAGATAGCTAATATAAGATAGGATATTACCAATAAAAGCATATTTAGGTCACCAAGCCACAAGTCATGGCTAAGAAAAAATCAATTCCATAACTTAAACAACCTTAAAAACCCATAAATCTAAGAAAGAATAACAAATATTTTCCAATAACTAAACTATTTTAGATCCCCAAACATTCCCCAACATCTAATCCTTCTTAGACTTTACTCTGGACTTGGCCAAATCGTCAGAAAACCGCTGGAGGAGCTTAAGTTTCAGTTACCGGTTTGCTTTTCAATTGGCAATGCGAATCGCAATTGACGGGTAAATTTAGCAACGGTTTGGGATTCGCATTCGGATTCGAGTCAGCATGCGGGGCACATGCTTTGGTCAAAATATAAAGAAAAAAAAATACAGAAAAAAAATGTGAAAATTTAAGCTGATCGTGGAAAAGCGCCTGTGCATATAAATCGACGCCGGTTGTCAACATGTCGTCGTCGTCGTCGTTGTCTTTGCAACTTTGCAACGTTGCATTCATGGCCATGGGCGGCCAATTGCCAATTGCCGACTGCGATTGCCGACTGGTGACTGCCTCCAGCAGGATTGCATTACCATGGGCAGAGAGGTTGCATCTAACATTTAACATCTAACAGCCAAAGATCTAGCGTCAAGTGCGCTGAGCTCTCTTGCTGAGCTGAAAATAAGCCGTTAAGATGCGTCTTGCTATGGGCCAAGTTGAACCGATAAAATCGTCAGCACATTTTGGCGGTCGTGCCATTGATATTGATTGATGCCGCCTCAACATTAACCCCAAAAACCAAACAACGGAACTACGAGTAGGGTTAGGCTGTTCGGGTAATACTCTAGGATTGGGTTAGGTAGATATATAACTCTCAGATATAGTTATCATATAAGTTTAGTAATGATAATGATATAGCTTTTAGCTGGAAAACCTTTAAGGGGTTAAGGCGAGTTTATGAGAGGAAGCTCTTTGAGTAATCATAAAACTTAGCAGTTTTTTAGCTACAAATTTACTTTAGTTTTAAAAACCAAACAATACACTACCAATACCACTGTACACCCTCGCTAAAGGGTATTTTTATACCCATAGGCCAAAGGCCAGAAGCCGTACGCAGTCGCCATTTCAATCGCACTTAAAATTAAACTTCAACTTCAACTTTAACTTCAACTTCGACATCGACTCCGGCGGGCAATTGAAACGCTTTGGATTTGTGTGTTAATGGAGCCTCGATCCAGGGGCAGCTAGCTTTATGTTGATCAGAGGGGGTGTGGTAAGCTACAGAGGGGATAAACTGCGTGCTCATTACGCTCGATAAATGCGGCCGGCCTCGGAGTGATTCGAACGTGTAACGGTGGCAGCGGCGGCTGGCAGAGGAGAAGAAAGCGTTCCGCCAAAAAAGGGGCACAAAAAAAATGAAAAAAAAAGCGAAGCTTAAAGACAAACAAACTGCCAAATGAATCTCTTTGAGGTCAGCAATTGAATGTGCACCCAAATGGGGCGGAGGAATGGAATTCAATTAAGTTTTCCATCATCTGTGTGGGTGGTGGTGGTAGTGGGAGGTGCTGATAGTTGTACGTGGTGGTGCCATATAGCTATGCCTATTGTTAATTTGTCAAAATGCAAATGCTCTTGCCAGATAAATTGCCAGAGCAATGTCACCCACGGGCCAAAATCAGACTAACTGCACTGCAAGAAAATATTTAACAAATATTTTACAATAATTATTAACAACTTTTTAAAGAGAGTTAAACATTTTGTCATGTTTAAATGGCTTTTAAAATAGTTTTTTTAATTTGAGGTTTTACAAACTGCAATTAAAAAACATTTAAATATTGAGAAAAGATGTTGGTTTTGACACTTTTTAAAATTTAAGCTTAATTTAGTAATTAAAATTAGTTGTTGGCGACGTTTAACTGAGCTGGGACTTTGGCTAACTTGGCTTCAAGTTAATGAATGAAATTCAAAAAGTAGTTCTAAGCTTTTAAGTAACTTTAATCTTTCCTAATTCGATCATAAATTGAATTACAAGAAGGAAGAATGTGTTTTGCAAAAATATTTTAAAGGTTTAAACTATTAACTTTTTAACCTTTACTACTCTTAATTATTAACTTAAAAAATTGAAAAAAATACCTTATTTATTTTATTTTCTACCCTGCTTTGCATATGTTAAAAAGTTAAGCTGCGAAAAAGGGAAAAAAGGGCTTAAAAAAATTTAAAAAAAAGGTTGGAAAGGGGAAAAAATATTTTAAAAAATGTACTTCCCTTAAAATAAATAAATTTACTCAAAATCTCATTACTACTTCTACTTTTCCAGTGTAAAAATCTTTATTTGCGAAATATTTTTAATTTAAAACCACAAAGACAAAGGGCCCTAAAAGACTTTGTAATATTTTTTTACCTCCTGTCAAATGCCAAAAATTTTAGTTTTTAATTTCACAAATTTAAAACAAAAAGAGAAAAACAAATTTAACTACAAAAATTCCACCTCTCAGTGCATAGAAGTAGCGAAATTTGGGAATTGACATCTGTCCAAGTCCACGTCGAACCAAGTCGAAATCCGAAATCGAACGAACGGTGCCTGGCATTAGATTGGCGACGTCCACTATTTAACCGCCCATCAAAGATGAGATGGAGACGGGAGCCGGAGATAGAGTCGGGTGCCGGAGTCCAACTTAAATCCAAGCCAAGACATTTGGGAGTGTCGCCCGCGGGGACTCGCCTCGAATTCCATTGCGTAGGCAACAATAACAACAACAACAACATAAACAACAACAACAACAACAAAGAAAGAAAGAAAAAACAAGAAAGAAGTTTGCATGCCAATCCAGAAGAAAGATCCAAGATCCCAAAGACAGCGACTCGAAATTTGAAAATGTTTACGTAATCCAATGGCGAATTATTTATGGGAATAATTATCATGCGTGTTGCATGATCAAATGGCTTTAAGCGAGTATATATATGAAGACCATATGCAAATATTTTTGGCCCAGGCAATGGGCAAGGAATGCAATGTTCAGGTATTGCCTTTGGAATTATTCCAAGAAATTCAGGGAAAATGTTTATTTTGAAGAAGTTTAAGCTTTATTTAACAGCATTTGGTTAGGGTTAGCGGTTCTAGATGACAAGACATAGGGAAATAAGGTATTTATTTTTTAGATTTAATAAGTTTATAAATAAAGTATTAGTAATTAAAGGTAATAATCAAACTAATAAGAAAGATTTTGGAAACCGATGACTCAAGTAGCTAGGCCTCTTTTACCTTCCTAAATATACATTATTATTCTTACTTAGTTTATGTATAATTTCTTAGTTCTTATATATATATATAATATAAATAAGAAATATACTTAGTTTAGAGAAGTTTATAATTAAGAAGAAAATGCATTTTTCACAATAATTCTTATGTGAAAAACTTTTTAATAGCATTTAAGTTAAGTTTGCGATTTTTTCATAATTTTCCCATAAAACCATTTAAGTTTAAAGATACTAAAATATTTGTTTTATTAGTTTTGAGGTAATGTTATATAAAATCAATATAATTTTATAAGATTTTAAGCATTGAAAGTTCTTAAAAAATCAAATTTAAAATATTCTTTCATCTAAAGCTTGAAAAAGAGGTCTTAAGTTAGTAATTAACTTAATTTACAATATATTCTCCTATTTTAAGGTTTAATATATCACTAAACTTAGCAACTACTTAGCCAATATCTTAAATTTATACAAAACCATGTTAATTATAGGCTTAGAAAAGGTCATAAATCAATATTTAAATTTTCTTTTAGAATTTAGCAAACTTGCCAATGCATTTTTGAAAAAACAATTAAATTTTGAAACAAACTTAAAGTTTCAATAAAAATAATAAAAAATATAAAAAATTTGGCAATAAATTTTTAACAAAAGCCAAATTTTAAATTTCAAAAAAAGCTTTCACTTCCTTACAAGTTAGCAGCCCTACTCTTACCCTTGACACAAACCCACCAAACAGCTGTTAAACAAAACTCTCCAAACTCTCCATAGCCCATTTCGCCGCGTTAACCAATACTTTTGCCGTGACTTTCGGCTGTTCAGCCGAAGTTCGTGGGGAGGATTCGTGAAAAATCACGAGGAATTCATGCCGTCGAGTGTCCTTTAAGGCAAAGGATGCTTTGAATTTTGCGCAGTTTGCGTGCGGTTTTCGGAGCAAAAGGATGCAGCAGTAACCAGCAGCAGCTGAACGAGAAAAGAAATCAACAAAGTTAGCCGTCGAAACACAGCCTCAACAGCGGGTTAAATTTTTCTAGTCTAAGAGTTGTGAGTCTACAATCTCGCCTTCCCTTCCTCTTAAGTACTACCACCTCCCCCCTTACATTCCTTACATCCTTACATCTTTACAATCCTTTAAGTTTCCTCAGAAATCCTACCAAAATTTGGCGCCCGTTTCTCTCTCACAACCATTGTTATTGCCCCTAAAATAATGAACTAAGTTGCAGTTTCTCTCGGTGTATAAGCCCCCTTTCTAGTCCTGTTTTTTTGCTTAATTTTTTGCAGTGTCCACAGTGTTTGAACTTTAAAAAAAAACAAGAAAGAAAAACCTCTAAATAAACTCAACTTAAGTGTGAATATTTAAAACGAAAATAAAAAACATTTTAAAGTGACTCGTGGGAATCGGAAAATTAAGTCAAGAGAAAAGTGCGAAAAGTTTTGGGCTCTGCAAGGACCCTTGGATTACCTTGCGGGGCGAGCGGAATAGAAATTGGAATCGGTATCAGGAGATATATATAACTATAGCCCGGCGGTGAGTTTGGTTCTTGTACATATAAACAGAAATATGTTTACTGTCAAATTAAGAACTTGGCGACGAGACTTTTGTTATTTTTGTTTACTTAACTAGTCGAGGTGTTGTCTTAGGTTTTCGTTTGTTTTGAGGGAATTAAATATTATTGTTACTTAAGTTTTGATGGGTTTTAATGTTTTAGTGTTGAACTATTTGTTTAATTTTTAATTATATATGTTAGTTAAGTTAGTAAGGGTTCCTCTAGGGCGGTTAAGTGGTTGTAACTCATGAATTTTCATTGCAGTTTTAGACTCTTAGTTGGGTTTTGAGGCGCTAAAAGGAAGTTAATCAGTTTTTGTGCTTAACAGAAATAGTTTTAGCACCTTGCTAGGCATTTTCTACATTATAGACTTATAACTTATCTTATAACTTAAGTGAATTTATAAGTGTAAATTATGTAGAAAATAGTTTAAAAATGACCAGAACTAATTCTTGTCATTTCTTAACTATTTCCTACATTTTAACCATAAAATACTTCTTAATTGAGATTCTTAAAAGATATTAAAGAACAAATTTATGAGTTTAAAGAAGTTTATATCTATAAAGCCACTTAACTTGATTTATTTAATATATTATATAGACTTTTATTAGCTTATTTAGTGATAAAAGAAAATGGGTATGCCCTAAGTCAAAAATAAAAGACTTTAAAGTTAAAACCAGCATTAAACTTCCATCGACCTTTGTTTCATTTATCCACCTTTTAGCTTAAAGAAAGTCTCTAACCTCCTTTTCTACCAGTGCATAGCATGTGAATTTCTATATTTATAGATTTCCCTTCCATATCATTACTGGCTGCTCCCCTATTATCAACGCCTTTAGTACGCTTTTCCGCCTTTTGTGTGGCGCCTCTTTTGCTTCCATTTGTTTTTCCACAGCCACAAAGTTTTCCCTTTGCCCTTTGATGTTCCTTACCCACAATAGTTGCGAAAAATGAAGGGTCAAAGGCTGGTTCAGTGATGGTGCTGCTGCTGCTGCTGCGATGATAAGCAACTTGTTACGATAACCATGATGATGAGCGAATTGAAAGCTTTTGTGACCGACCCCCAACCCCACCCGCCTGTGGTTTTTAACCCATTTCTACTCCCCCCCTTTTTATTCCTTGGAATCAACCTTTTTTCTCTGGGATCTCTGGGTCAGGGCTGTGAAATCGAATCATTTTGTAGGCTTTATATTTAATTTGCATGGTCCTGGTCTACCCTCCTACCCCCGCAAACACCGCACCGCAACACCGAAAAAGGGTTCAAAGGGTACGAAGGCACCGGGGTTTACCTTAATTTTTAACTCCCCCAAAAACTTCCTGCTGCATATTCTTTGGTCAGTTGACTAAATTAAATAAAGACAGCCCAGCCCAGCAACAGTTTTTTTTTTCTTGCGGTGTTTTTCTTCTTAGATCTGACGCCGAAAAGTATGCCATGAATTTGGCCAACATTTCTAGGGAATTCAAAGGGCAGCAGCAGCAGCAGAAGGGGTCTTGATTGATGATGAAGTACTCAACGGGTCGCTAACCTTCTTAGTTTTGGAATTTTCCTAGGGAGTGGTGGCAATTTGGTTAGCAATTTCAAGGGTTTTATTAGCTAGTTTTTCAGGCTGCAATAGGTCTAAGTTTGATGGATAGAAAGGGAGGTATAAAGTATGGAGAATGAGTCTTAGAAAGTTTTTAAAGAGAAGGCAACTACGAGTATAATTTGGTTTTTGCATCATTTTGTTAAGTTTTCAAGCAATAATTTATGTATTTTCTATATTTCTATAAAACAGATGTTTAAGTTTAAGTTATTTTAATAGAAAAATCACAGTTAAAAGTCACTCCAACGAGCACTTAACATCCTTAAAGAAACTTTCAAGGTCTCTTAGCTTGTTTTTCTCTAGTTTTATTCCTTCCTTACTTGTTTTCCTTTATTTTCCCTTTTATTTTCCTTTTCTTATTATTTCCCTACTCTACCATTGTTTCAAACATCCTTGCATCTTGGCAACAACACACTTTTCACATTTTCCTTTCCTTTGCTGTATTGCTGTTGCTGTTGCTTCATTAGTTTCATTGGATTTTCCAATGCAATGCGATGCAGCGGCAGCAACAACAACAACTTAAATTGTTGCATCTGCCGATTTCGTTATTTCAAATTTCATTTCCATTCAGGATGCATCGAAGCGACGTGGAAATAAATCAAAAGGAAACCGAAGAAGAAACAAATCGAAAGAGGCTGCAGTCAAAAAGAAGATATTGCAGTTGCAACAACTTCGATTAAAGCTGCAACACACAGCCCATTAAGTGCTGGAAAAAAAGGGGGAAAAAAGAAAAGGATTCGTCGTCTCTTCCTACACAACTACCATCACTTTTTTTCGTGCAGTGCATATATATTTTTAAGCCAACAAAGACCACGACGAGGACGCCGCCGGCAGTGAGCAGCGGTTGAAGCGTCGCTGCTGCCGCAGAAAATGGCCGCAGCGACAACAGCAGCAGCAACAGCAGCAGCAATAACAATAGCAGCAACATCGGCAACAGCAATAGCAACATGAATGAAACCTGCAGCCACGTTGCACGGCAACGCCGATGATGATAACGATGATAATGACAATGATGATGATGACGATGACGACGATGCTGTTGATGCAGACGAAGATGACGACGTTGCCGAGTTGCAGTTTCAAGAGCCAAAACACAATGCCAAGTGCCAACAACAAGCTGAGCGAAGGGGGAAATTAAGTGCCAAAGGCAACCGCAGCAACAGCAACTGCAGCAACAGCAACTGCAACAGCGAAAAGATTTTTCACTAGCAAAGCAGAATCAAAACTGAATTTACATAACAAAACAGGAGCAGCCAAACTAGAAGTGGAAAAATCGTAGAAGATTCTTCATTTTCATCTTCTCAGAATATAAGAAGAAAGAGACAGAGGCAGCTGCCAACATACCCGGCAGCAACATGTCGTCTTCAGTGGGCGTTAGGCGACGTGGCGCCATCTGGATGTTGCTACTGTTAACCACCACTTTGACTAGTGGTGGCTGGGCGGCGCCCACAGTGGCGGGGCAAAAGGAACCGCAGCAACAGCAACACCACCACTACCACCATCTGGAAATCGGAGTGCAGGGCAATACGCCCACGCTTGTGGAGGCGAGCACCACCAGAGGCGGGAAACATGCTCCACTGGCTATGACTAAGGCAGCAGCAATGCCTAGCACTAGCACCACCACAGAGATGCCAAGAGCCACTGATCAGGTGCAGGTGGACAAAGAAGTGCCAACCACTAAAACGGAAACATCTGCAATAAGCACCACTGAAGGAAGTAGCACTGAAAGGAGCAGCACTCAAAGAAGCAGCACTGAAAGTAGAAGCACCACTGCAAGTATTCCTACCAAGAGTAGCCCCACTGAAAGTAGAAGCACCACTGAAAGTAGAAGCACAACTGAAGGTAGCAGCACCACTGAAAGTAGCAGCACCACTGAAAGAAGCATCACCACTGAAAGTAGCAGCACTCAACGACGTACCACTAAAGGTAGCTTTACCAAAAGTAGCACCATAGAACGAAGCACCACTGAAGGAAGCACCACTGAAGGAAGCAGCACCACTGCTAGTATCAGCACCACTGAAAAACCAAAAGCAACCAACGAAACACAAAGAACCAGCACCACTGAAAGGCCATCCCCAGTAAACGAGGAGACAACGGCACTCTTAGAAAACAAAGAAGACTTGCAAGTGATGCAGCTCTTGGACTTGGAGCATACTATTGCACCACCATTGGACAGCGGACACGATGGCCTTAAGCTGACCAAAAAGAAGCAGCTGCAGCAGCAGCATTTCCCCACAACCACAGTGGCCACGACCACCATTGAAACGGAAATGGAAAGGATACCCACAACGAGCAGCACCACCACAACCACCACCACTACTACTACCGCTAGTACCACCACCAAAGCATCATCACCAGTGGTCACACCCCTGCTGCCCGTACACAATGGCTATCTGGGACCTATCTTTATGGGCGAGAAAACCTTCAGTGTGGTGCATCCTCTAAAGAAACCACAGCCAGTTAACCACCAGCATGTGGCTTCGGTTGAGAGCCAGTTAAAGAACGGCCGCTTGGTGGAGATATTGGCGCCCACAGCACTGCTCGAGCAGATTTCCGAGACCAGCACCACTCATGCCCCACCCTTAGGAGCTGCCTCAGTGCTCTCCACCACCGTTTTCCAGGTACCCGAACTGCAGACCAGCACCACCCGTCTGCCCACTAATAACAATCTCGTTGTTGGTGGTGCAGAACTTCTTCTCCCGCCACCTCGCACTGAGTCCAAGATCTCGGACATACAAATCGAAGTCTATGACTCGACGGTGGATTCCATTGTGGCTTCAACGAATTTCCGCGACAGCGAAGGTTTCTATGCACCACCACAGAGTCCCGTGGAACTTGGCACCACCAAGCCGCCGCACGAGATGTCAATGCCGCAGGAGCGGTTCACCCAGTACGTGATCGATCGAGCGGATGTGTCTACCCAACCAGCATCGGGTGGTGCTAGTGGTGCAGCATTGGGCAAGCCAGAACCAGCGGCCATCGAGATCCACATCAATGTCTCAGAGGCCTTTGGCAGCGAAAGTGAGGATCTGGAGTTCTCCTATCGCCAGCCTTCCTTGGTGGCTGAGAAACCAGGAAAACCAGGCGATGAAATCCTAGTCGTGGAGATCATTGACAGTGGTGCGGACAATAGCAGCTCGGAATCGGGTGGTTCATCCTCTTCAGCGAGTGGTGAACACATTAATCCGATCTTCACTTTCCGCAATTCCGATGCAGCTGCTGCACCACCTCCACCCGTTCGACCACCCCAGTCCGTTCAAGATGCCGATGAGCTCTTCATGGCCGACCTGAAGGACGGTGGTGGTTCAGTGCCACGTCCGCCACCTCCACCGCCGCCACCACCACCACGAAAACCTATCATCGATCGTGATTCGGATACAATCTTCTATATTTCCAACACGGAAGTCAAGGTGGGTGAATCGCTGCCCACCCAGGGTCCAGTGGGTGAACAGCAGCGCAAGTTCCAGCTGGAGAATCAATTCTTCCCGGCCAGCTATGTGATGGATTCCCAGCAACAGAAACAGCAATCCCAGCAACCCGATGAGGATATCATTCTATCACCACTGCACCACAGTACCGATTCTCTGAAGATCTTCCGCAGCTCTTCGTCGAACAGTGGCGATGGTGCCCCACCGTTGGACGTCACCTATGTGGGTGAGTCCGTTATCGAGGTGGAGCAACAGCCGCAAAGCTGGAGCAGCACTGCCCAACCGCCACAGCAGCAGGATATCATCATTCAGCCAGCAGTACTGCCCGATTTGGCCATTGGAGTGCCAGTGATCGGGGAACTACCGCCACAGATCGAGCTCAAGGAGATCGACTATATGCCCGGTGAACTGGGAATGGGTCAGAATGGTATCGGCATCTACGAGAATGACATCCAGAGCAACAGCATTGATAGTGAACCGGATGTAATCGAGAGTTCCATTCAGTATGGTGGTGATCTAATTGATGATGGCGCTGGCGGTGGTTTTGATGGCGTCGAAGGTTCTTATCCCTTTGAGAGTCCCGCCCACCGCCAGCTGCAGGTGGGTGTAGGTCATGGCTTGAGCCATCAGCCTTATCATCAGTCTGCCAACCACTTGCATCGCGAACAACTTCCCGTGGCGGAGATGGTTAATGCCACGCTTCTTCAGCGTTATGATAGTGGATCTGGTTCGGGATCGGGATCGGGATCGGGATCGGGTTCGGGTTCTGCCTCGGCAATGGCTCCTTTGCTGGCCAGTGGCAGTGGCAGGTCTGCTAATGCCACTGCTCTATCGGATGATCCTTTGGCTGATTATGATGGTGAGTTAAAGTTTTGGCATTTGGCTGGGAAACTCTTTTTTTTTAACAAACTTTTCATTTTAGGTTTCTTCAATCTTTTTGCTGTCTCAATGGGTCTCATAATTGTTATCCTGCCTTCAGCTCTACTAGTTTCTATGTACTGCGCTATCAAGTAAGTAATACTATATAGACTATACTAGACTACTTTTAGTAGAAAAGAAATCCAGAAGATAGGATGACTAGGGAAACTTAAAATCTTAAGAAACCGCAGAGAAACTTCACTGATATGTTAGAAAAATAGTCACAAAAGGCCATAATATGGTCTGGTTACACCAAAAAACATAAATCTTAAAGAAATTCTGGCCGTAAAGACCTTTTCCTCAAGTAAATAAAACAAACTTGCACCCCAAAAATAAGCCCTCTGATAACAATCGAACCATCTTAAAAGGGAAAAAAAAGTAACCATCGCTGGCTTAACCTCAACCACAAACTTCCCACCCCCTCACCGAGATAAACTGTCATTCCTAGGGCCAACTGTACCCAGACAGTATGGTCTCTTATTCTAGACTCCTTAGCCATTTGGTCGAGCTAATTGGTTACGCCTCGTGTGGCGCTTAATCAGCTTAGACGCCAATGTTCCACACAAATCAAAAATAATTGCAAGAAATTGCGAGGAAGCAGCGACGTTGGGGGGATGAGCTGAGGGGGGGGCGGGGGCTAAGACCACCTTAAAAGAAGAAAGACAACAGATGTGAATGTGGTGGATGCTGGTTGCTGGATATGGAGTCCTCCCTGAGTGGCAGGCAACCCTAATCTGATCCCGTCTAAAACCTTCATTTCAAGGATTCGCCTGGTTGAAATTTGTTGCCTACTTTTGAGCGCCGACCCACGCATGGCATAAGAATGCACTCAATCTAAAGCAATTTGCTCGAGGCAACCACCCCACCTGACCCCCGGAAATCCACCATCTCATCATCAGAGCTACCATCCCACACTCTTACTCTACCTCGCCCCCCCTGCGGCGGCACTCGCTGCAGGCAAGGCGTGGCAAATCGCATTTATCAGCTTCATTCGTGGCGTTTTATTTCTCATTCGCATTGCCAGCGACAGACAAGCAGAAATAGCAACAAAACATTGACAAATCTGTGACGGAGTGGTGGTGCTGGTGTGGGGGGGAGGTGTTTGGTTGGGTGCCTCTGGTGGCTGAGTGGAAATTTGAGAGCAATGCCAGGGACGCGCACATCCTTTATCGCCCGCAGTCTGGCCCATACATAAATCTTGGGCACGCCACGAATTGGGTTGAAAGCTGCTTGGGGAAGCTGCTGTTTCTCTAGATGCGGATTTATATATATATATATATATAAATATACACAATGAGAAAAAAGGATAAATAAAGGATTAATTAAGAACATATTCCAAGCTACTAATTCAGGCTGAGAACTTAATAATTATTAAGTAAAAGTTAAAATTTCTGCTAAAAACATTTCTAATTAACAACCTCAAAGACCCACCTACTATTTCTCCCAGTGTACACATATATTTGCTGGGCACTAAATGCCAAACAAAATGAAAACGGGAGAAGGAAGGTTTGGGAAGGGGCAGCTGGGAGTGTCAGGTTGATGGGGAGCTCCGAGAAAAACTGAGGGCGCCACAAATCAACGCTGCGGAATCGAGAATCGTCGAGGCCGGAAACGGAAGTCGCCGCACACGCACACAACAGCAAAACAGACACACTCACACGTAGCTCTGTCTCGCTCTCATCCACATTCCCAGATGATGTAGATGCCAGAAGCTAACAAGGCAGCTGTTCTTGAGGAAGGTGATCCCTGCTTTCCAGAGCTTCTTTTTTTGTCTCCCCCACACGATTTTCCCGCTTTTCGGCTGCCGCAGGAAAAACGCATAAACCGGCAAATGGCAACCGCAAACGTTGCCAGTTTGTTGCTCACCCTCGGAATGTTGTTCCCCCAAACCCGTCAAACAGAAAGAAACCAAAAAAAAAAAAGTAAGGTGCCGTGAAAAGCCAGCGTCAAAATAAAAAGGAAACACACAATTTATTTGCCTTATTCCCATCTGCCAGGCAGGACATTGGGTGGGTATATATATCTGTATATATATATATATGTGTTGTCTGGAAGGAAATTGCACAATAAACTCTTGAGACGAGAAATTAGTTGTGCGTGTGGCTCGTTTCGGCGGCTTTCCAACTTGAAATTTGTTGAGTGCCAATAGCATTACGAGTCCTAGAGTCCTGGGCCACAGGACAATGGTTTTGCTCTTGGGACAGCTCTAAGATACTCCACTGGCAGTCGCTCATGGAACTTTCTAATATTTATGGCACTTTACAAAACGAATTTTTCGTAGCATCAAGGCATTAACAGAAGATAATATCTCTGACCTTAAAAAGTTTGCAGATTATATGGGGGTATATATACCCATTTGTTTTAAAATTTCAAATTTGATTAATTTGTAGATTTTCGTAATCAGATTTAAAGGCTCGAAGGCCTAGGCAGCGCAATCCCTTGGTGTGCTTGGCACTTATTATTAAGTCAAAGTATGGGCCTGGGCTAGGTGATTGCAGGCAGCCGCAAAGTAGGCAACAAAATGTTAATTTCAAGTCGCGGCATCATTAGAAATGCATTGGATTTTGAAACTCTCTGGCCGAATAAGAAGAAGAAGACGAGGGGCGCCCAAAAGCTGCGGCAAGCCATCGACTGCTTAACAACTTTGGCCGCCTTTGGCCCAAAAAGACACCAACTCTCACACTAACCCTCTGTGTCTCACTCTCTCTCTCTCTTTTTATCTTTTCTTTACGTTTTTCACAGGTATGTGTTGAGCAAAAATGGAGGACCAGGCTCGGGTGGCGCCCAAGGCGATGACAGCGAACAGGGCCAGGACTCCAAGCACGAGGTGAGTTCATAGCAAAATATTCAGCTTTTCTACCACCTTAACATCTCCTGAATAACACGCCTCTCCCCTACATCCCCTCCCACAACCATCGACAAAAACCCTACCCCCCCTTTTTCTTCGCCTGATGGAAATTGAAATTTAAACGCAAGTGCCATCACAGCGAGAGAGTGTCTTCAGAAAACCTTCTACCCTTCTTCTACCCATCATCCTCCACCATGGATGCACTCGTCTGCTGTACTTGCTGCTTCTCGAGCTCTCGAGAAAATTAAACAATGGCTGAAATTTCCGCGGGAAATTTTATTGCGTTTCCACTGAAATGGAGGCGAAAATTAAAGATGATACTGCGGTTGCCAGTTAAGTTGAGGAGGGTTAATAAAATCAGGTGGCTTTAAATGGGTTAAGTTAACCAGTTTGGTGATATTATATTTTGGGATTATGATTTGTGATTTGAGAAAGCAAACTAATTTGTAATCAATTTGTGATAGGATTAACCTTAATTTATAACTTTTAAGTTTCTTCTTAAAAACAAAGCTAAACTTATTTATAAATTAAAATGGAAAACTATTATATTAAGCTAAAGAAGAAAACAAAGAACTGCCATCTCAAATAAGACCTAAAAAGCTGCTGCCGGAGAGAAGGTTAGGGTTCAAGTTTAAATCAAGCTCGGCGGGGGTTGTCTTGGACTTAGAAATGAATTCCCTTTGGCTGGTAATGAAATTTTCTAGCTTTTTGATGGTGTGTGTGTGCGAGCGTAGAGTGTGCGAAAGAGGCGGAAAGTGTGTGTGTGCGTGAATTGCATTCCAGTTAAGTACAGAGTCCGCTCTTTCTCCCTCTTGCAGTCAGAATCGTCGTCATTCTCATCATTTGGCTCGGCATTTGCATCCGCCAGCGCCACCATTTCCACATCCCCACTACCACGACCACACCTAGAGCTGCCTAACCGCCCACCTCCTACTAGTATCGCGCCCCCAAGCGTCAGCAGTCAAGGCCATTTACTAACGCCTGGTCTAGAGTGCCTCGAGTTTCGATTCGAAGGGGGTGGTGGCTGTAAGGTGGTGGCAGGTCAGATGGGTCAGGTGGGGAATGGTAATGGGAATGGGAGTGGTGGCACTACTACCATCATCATTGGTGGCGGCTCAAGTGGCGGCTTTGCTCCCTGTGGCTCTGTCACCAAGATGACGCTCAAAGATAATCATCTGATTGTTGTCACCGAGGAGCGGCACGTAAGTTCGTTAGTCATCCGATCAGATCCGTATCCATTGTTGTCCTCCTCCACCACCGTTTTCTTGTCTTCTCTCCTCACCGTTTCTGTCATTTCTGGAATCATTCCAGAATTCTTGATGTCTCCTCTTCTCTTACTGTGTGTCTCGTCTCTCTCTCTCTCTGTTAAAACTCTTCAGCGGATGATGTGCCCGTGCCCGTTTCCGTGCCTGCTCCTAGATGTTGTGGTAGTAGTTAGTTTGCTGTCTGTTTTATGGTGCCTGCCTATGTCTATCCAATCATCTTTGACTTGGCTTTATATCCTCAAAACCTCGATTGCATCCAACAAGTACTTTTTGGTTACTTCACTTTCATACACCTAGAGGAGAGAGTCTTCTTGCTAAGATAAATCTTATTTCCTGGCACCTTTGGTTTAAAATTCGATTAAGTTTGTTGGTTTAAGAATGGCTGTAGATGTCCTTGGTCTAGTCTAATGGCTAACTAAGAACAGCTGTTAGCCATAAACTATCTTTGACATTTAGTTTATGATTTATTTAGTGTTTTTTCCTTTTAATTATCACATTTTTCCATTAGTTTTATGAGCTGTTTGGTTTTAATTTATGATCTGTCAGTGCTTGAGTTATTAACTTAGTCATTGTTTTTACTAATTTATCTGCTTTGTTAGTTTTGATTTGAGTTTGCCCGGACTTCAGCACTTCTCCTTTTATGTTTAAGTGAGTACTTTATTTACCGCACACTCTTGACACCTTGCCACCTAGCCACAACCTCTGACACTTTGGGGAAACACTTTCCCATTTGTTCATTTGTCCCGGCCTTGAATGTCCTTGGGTGGTAGATATGGTCCTGGCACATCAATGGCCACCTGCGGGCCATGAGACAGCGAACGAGGGCCAGATTTGAGTCCGAACAAGAACAGCACAGCCCGATGTCGTCTATTTGTCAACTTAAAAGCAAGCGACTGCCTGCGTGTGTGTTAGAGTGTGTGCCTGTGTGTGTGGTGTATCCTTGGGGCGTATGTGTGTGCCACAAGCGTATGCAAATGCAATTTTCGACACTTTCCGCATGGCAGCCAACCGATTTGTCCGCTCTGTCGCCCCACTCTGCTGATGCTGCTGCTGCTGCTGCTGCTCCGTTTCCAACCTCTTTTCTTCACTCCTCCACTTTCTCCTCGATCTTTCCCCTCTTCACCTTTTCACCATCTTCAATCTCGTGTATCCTTGATGTCGTAGCTGGTTGTTATTGTTGTTGTTGTTGTTCTTGCTGTGCGCGTGTATTGATGTGTGAGCAACTTGCACCTTTCTAACTAATATGCTTTGTATAGGGCTCTGCCTGCCTGCCTCTGCCCAACCCCATCGCTTTTTTGAATGAAAATTGCTCTACTTTTTCGCAGGATATCTCACGAAATGCCCGAGAGACGAAAATGCATACGGACAAGGATGGCGTCTTTGTGGTGGAGGTGGCCCGTGGCTGCGATTCTAAGCAACTGACTGGTGATATGTCCGGCGTAACCTTGGACTCCACCGAACTGCCCTTTGATAACAACAAAATGACCACCGCCAATGGGGGACATTTGATGGATAAAACTCTGCCACCCAGTCATGAGCAAGTACAGATTCATACCCCTCCCCAGGACTTTGCCACTGGCCATCCGGCTCCACTGCATCTCATCGAGGAGGCCGAGGAACATGTCGCTGAGGATTTGGTTCAGCATGTTGTCGAAGCTCACTCTAATCTGGCTCGCACTGGCCTCTCCCAATCGGATCTCAGTTCGACTTCGTCCAATGACTCTAATAAAAGGTACTCCTATGGCAACCAGGAACTCTATGTCATCGAACAGCCGGGCTATGCCACAAGTTCACCCACAGCTAAGCCCATCTTGATAAGCCCAAATCAAAATCCAGGACAGGAACTGGAACAGAAGTCGGCTCAACCTGAGCAAACTGAGAACGATTCTAGTCAAGAATCCAAGAAATCAATTGAGGATGTTGGTAAGTCAGCAAAGGATGCACCAATCCCGGAAAAAGAACCAGAAGTTCTTCCGGAAAAGGTGACTGAGATTACTCCCCAAAGGGAAGAGGAAACTCAACCTAAAGAGCAGATAGAATCTACACCAGAAAACAAGTCTGTTGTCCCGGAAAATGTGACAGAGGTTCCACCTAAAGAAGAAGGGGAGGTAGTTCCCTCTGATGAGGAAGTTCTTCCACCAAAAGAGGAAGTTCTTCCACCAAAAGAAGAAGTTCTTCCACAAAAAGAAGAAGTTCTTCCACCAAAAGAGGAAGTGCCTCCACCAAAAGAAGAACTTCTTCCCCCAAACGAGGAAGTCCCTCCACCAACAGTTGAAGTCTCTCCACCGCAAGAAGAGCAAGTCCAGCTTGTCTCACAGCCCGAAAAGGAGTCCGAGGACAAACCAGACGAAGTCCAAGCCGAATCAAAACCAGATCCCAGTGAGATCTCAGCCGAAACCGAAAAGGAAACCGAACTACCCATTGAATCTCAACCAGAAGATCTACCAGAAATCGAAAACAACCCCGATGCCGAGAGTAACTATGACAGCCTGATGAGCCTACCAGCGCCACCATCCACGGAGGAGATCAAGGAGCTGGGCGACTACACTCTCATCGAATCCAATCAACTGGATAGCCTGCCACCGCCACCGCCACCACCACCGCTCCTCGAGCCACAAAGTACACCGCCAGCTAGCGTTAGGCCAGAGGATCAGAGATCACCAACCACCATTAATGGTATGGGCAAGGTCACGGTGTTGACCACCAGCACTGGTGCCGCAGCAGCAGCAGCAGCAGCAGCAGAGGAGCCACCATCCACCCTGACACCACCCGCCTCGCCACCAGCCACCCCACCGCCATCGCAGACGCAGTATGCCAACAGCAATGGGTTAACCAATGGCCTACATGCCCTGGCCGTTGTCGATGTGAATGGCAGTTAAGAAAGGCCAGGTGCCAGGTGTCAGGTAAGAAGATATGACTTTTTTTTCATCTCGGAAACGAATCTCATAGAGATCAGCTTGGGTTAGAAAGCGAGTTTAGAACCGAGGTTAGCTAGCTATTAAGGTTTAACTAGGAAGTACTGACAAAAAATTTCACCCTAACAAATATAGAAAACTGTGGCAAAAGGAAAAAATGTTTCCAAACGAAAGGAAAAACTAAAAGAAGAAAAACTTAAATTTAAATATACACTAAAATAGAGAGAAACTTTTTCCACTTACTGTTTGTTGATTTTCGAATATAACGAATAAAAAATAACAATTAAATGCGATTAATATAAATATAAATATAAATCATAATTAATTGTTTGTCTATTTGCGGCTGGCAGCCCCACTTCCCCACTTCTTCACTTCCCCACCAACAACAAACCAGCCATTGTGTGTCCACCCATAACAACCTCTCTCTCTCTATCTCTATCTCTATCTCTATCTCTCTATCTACTTTTGAGGGGGGAGGTGGTGCAGCTAACGAGTATTTCAATGTCTATAAACTACAATAAACCAAAAACAAAAAAAAAAGAAAGAAAAACAAACACGATAGAATCTGCATACGAACTATATATATATATATACTCGTACCCGTATATGTATGAAAAATAAATGAAAAGCGATACACAGAGGCGAGAAAAAATAAGAGTAACTAACTACTACCGATATGTAAAACGATGCATAATTAATTAGGCTAATTATTTACACAGACAACAAGGCCAAAAAGGAAACAAAACGATAAACCAACAACCGCATTATAAAGGCCATAAATTGGTAGTGAAAAATTTATTTGAATGGAAAATTTTGGCATTGAGTTTCGAGTAGGACATACATAGGTCCAAATGAGACAGCTAAGTGTGTCCTGTGTCCGGATACGTCGTCTATATAGTTTTAATTAGCAAAAAAATTAAACAGATTAAAGAGAAGATTACAATGAGATCCGGCAGAAAGTCCGAGTTGGTTTCAAAAGCATCAATTTGCCTTTTTTCAAGAAGAGAGAGAAAAGGAGTTTCTGATTTTTCAAATTTCACAAAAAGGCAAAAAGATAGCTAGTTAACCGGACATAGAGCACACTTAAATATCGTTAATATATCGATATTCAAATTTTCGATAATTACACAATTCAACACTTGACAAAATCAAATGTGCCGAACTTTTGTAGCAACAGCAGCAAGCCAACCAAAAAAAACAAACACACAATTTACAAAGACAAACGAACAATTTATACAATGATTACAGCAGATAATATATATATATATATACATATATATATATATAACCTTTTAAACCGATAAATTAGTCATAGTCCTAGTTGGTATCTCATATACTTATATGTATATTTTTTTCGTATGTGTGAGAACTTCAACTCTACCAAAAGCAAATGAGAACTAAATGGCTAACGTTAGGAACTAAGAACTAACTTTGTCAGAACTAGATGAATGCAGATCGTGAACATTTCCGATATATATACATATATATATATGCTGCTCCACATCATATACAACCCAATATTATATAGCATTGATAAAGAATAAATATAGAAACGAAAACTCTTAAAAAACAAAACAAATTCTTTAGAAAATAAGCCAAGACGGATTGAAAAATAAATAAAGTCCGTGCACTGCAAGTGGCGCGTTAGCTGATAAGTAGTAGGAATTATCTATAGCCCCGGTTATATATATATATATATATATGCTATATAGTGAAAAACATAAATCGGGTTCGTTTATAGGTGGAACTTAAGCCCTGGCTAACGATTTAACCACTTCTGTTGTTTAAGTTTGTTCAAATTGTTTTATTGACAATTTTTAAACCCGAGATGGTCGAAAGCGAATGATCGATGCCAATGACAAAAATATTATGAATATTATATATTAATTAATTAATAATTAATCCAAAAAAGAAAAACTAATCGTAAATCAAATATAAAAGTTAGGAAAAGAAAAAAGAGAAAGTGTGAAGAATTTTTTTTTGGGTCGAACGAAAACAAAATGAATAAGTAAATGTGATTGTTATTTAAACTTAAGTTATTATTAAAAAAACAAAAAAGAAAAACAAGAAAATGAAAAAGAAAATCTAACTTAAAACTGATATGTATGTATGTGTGTGTGTGTGAAAAGTTTAAGAAAATTCATTAGCAAGCCAAAAAGGAAAAAACGAAAACGAAAACGAAGCGTAACGAATGGCAATGGAAAGCTCAAGAAGCAAGGCAAAAGGCAAGCGATAAGCGATTAACGATTACCGATTAACGATAGTTGGCAACTAGGCAAGATTCTGGCCCTGCTAAAGAGAGAAATAGAAAACATAAAGAAAAGTAAGAAAATCGAGGGAACTTTCCCGAAAATAAAATGAAATTCAATATTAAGAACGATTGCAAAAAGGAAACCAAAAATGAGAAATACACACGAAAAGCAAAGTCAAGCAAAATGCATTTTCATTTTTGGAGTCGGAGGGGGGGAGGTCATTTTGGAATTTTTAATTTTGGCTGTACAAGTACGTATGTATGTGTGTGTATTTTTTCCAGACGCTCCAGACTCCATCGATTTGCGGGCTACCATAAAATCGAACCGAACCAGAGCCACTCAGGCGATTTGGTTCGGTTAAAGACCCATAAAGCCCCGTCATTCGAGGGCGTAAAGAGGCCCCAAACTGCAATGTCTATATGTATGAGTGTGTGTGTGTGTGTAAAAGGGGCGGGGGAGGAGAACTGGTAAGCAATGAAGCGGAAGCCGAAAGGAAACAGGGAGCCCAAGTTGCTCCTTCCAAGGGAGGGCCCTAAAAGGGCGTGGCAAACGGAATTGCATCCAGCACTTGGCTGGACGTTTTGAATTTCAGCTGAGAGGCAAACGGTTACAATCACCTACAACCGGCATGAGCATGGAATGCTACCCTGTAGATGCCAAAAGGAATTTCTGGGTGGCTATGACAGGTTGATGGTATGGATAAGATCTAAAATCTACTTCAAATTGAATGTTTAGATTAACATTGAAGTAATTACCTATAAAATCTGATAATTTCATGGGTTAAATTAGGACTTAAAATTAAATTGTAGACCTTTAAAGTTAATACTAAGTCTTCGTAAGCGGAAAAACAAGTTGGGAATTATAAAAAAGGTAAGTTTGACTAGCGAAGCACTAAGCTTTCCAGTACTTATCCACTTGTTTATTTCCTTTAAAATATCCTAAAATTAGTTCTATAAGTTCTTTTGACAAAAATAATCTGCAGATAAGACCTATTTCAGGATATCCCCTAGTCTTTTCCCACCACTAACCTCACCACCCTTGGCTTCCTTTCCACTTAATTGCGGGCCAGCTCATGTTGTCTGCTCGTTTCGTTTGGGCTTTAACTTTTTTACTAATTTTAAATGACGCTTCCGTTGAGCGAGGGGGATGGATACTGAAGGATGTAGGTTGTGGGAATGTAGAGATGAAGGAGATGTTGGCTGGAGTGTTGGCTAGATGGAGGGCAGCTGCTGGTGCTGGTCCTAGTGATGGTGATGGTGGGCTCTTGTTGTCAAGTGCTGTCCTCCTGTGTGTGCTCGAAAGTTGAGTCGACTTGAAATTTTAATGAAATGCGCTGCTTCTGCTGTTGCTGTTGCTGCTTCAGCTGCTGTTGCTCCTCTCGAGCTTCATCTCCATCTCCATCTCCATCTATGTCTATGTCTATGACTCTGGGTTTTCGGTTGCCCTCCGGGCTATGTGGCCTGCCATTTTGCCTTCTGGGCTAGTGGCTGCTACCAAACTCTCCGTCTGCATTTCAAATTATTTTTAATTGTCATTTCTGCGGCATCGCCAACGACGACAACGACGACGACGATGTGGCGTCTCATTTTCGGGCCTGTCAAAGCCATAAGGACCGTGGACCGGCCCTTTTTTGGCCTTTGTGCCCATTGGCGCATTTGCGGCAATCAAAATATTTATGCCACGGACAGTTGATTAACCGCAAAAAAGGGTGCCTCCTCCTAGTCGCTTCCTCGTTCATAATTAAAATCAAATTAACCCACACATAGGAGGTAGCCACCAGCATCACGTTTGTGGTTCGTTTTGGGCAGCGAAAAACTGGGCAGATCGCCATAATTTCACATTTCGGTTAGCATTATGCAATTTTCTCATTCCCATTGGGTTTCCCTTTCCCCTTCCCCCATTTACGTTTTTCACTGCTCCACATCCTGTTCCCTCAGCCAAATCAAAACCTGCAATCAGTGCAATCGACGGACTGGATACAATTTATTCTAGCCGCAGGGCGGCCCAAAATCAAATTGACATTTTCCCGAGCTCCCAAAACCAAAGTCATTATCAACTACCCTTACACCCCTTCACCCCCTCCTACTATTTAAGGGAAATTGGAGTGAAAAGTCAGGAGGAGGAGTGCTATTTAAGCCAGGACACAGATCATTAATCAAATCACTGCAAAACTGACAAATAGGTTGCAAGTAAAAGGGAAAAAAAAGTGAAAAAGTCAATGGTAAAAATGAGAAACTCGAAATTTAAATCGAATGTTAGTTACCTAAAATATTATACAAAAAAAGTTTGTAATGATAAGGGAATAAAAAGAAAGTAAAGTCTATGTAGAAATGTAAATTTAAGCTAAGAAATATAACTATATATATTGTCATAGTTCTTAAAATACAAAATATGATTAAAAAAGTAAAGATATTGAAGTAACTAGAAAGACACAGCAATAAAAATTAAAAATAATATATGTAAAGACATAAAATAAATGAATAAAAACTTAAATAAATTCATAAAAACTAATATAAATGTATTATAACTTAAATAAATATATTTATAAACCTAAATAAACTATAAAAAATCTGAAATAAATATATATAAACTTAAAGAAACTTAAAATAAATATATAAGAAATAAAATATATATATACAAAACTAAAAAACATATAATAATTTAGATAAATATATATAAAAACCCAAAATAAATTATATAAAAGGTTAAATAAATATATAAAAATTAAAATAAATATCTCAAAACTAATACATTTTTATGGAAAACGTAAAAGTACCAAAAACAACTAGAAAACATCATGAAAATGTGAAAATAAAAATATTTAAAATATATTTTTAAGCCCTAAAATACCACCTAACAAAAACTATAACTAAAATTCCTTTAATTTTTTAATAGAAATCAAAGTAACTAGAAAACTTGATTAAAATCCACCACAAATATATTTCAAATTCTCATTTAAACCCTAACAATATCACAAAAAACCTACATCAAAGTAACCTAAAAAAACGATAAATAAAATTCCTTTAATTTTTTTTGTTAACAAATCATTTCCTTATAAAGCATTTACCAGAGCATTTATCAGATATATACAAATATAAAGTAAAAATCTATAAGAAACGGCTATAAATTGATAGAAAACGAAAAACTAGTAAGCCTAACTATAAAACATCATTAAAAGTATATAACATATATACTTCAAACTTATTTTGAAACCCTAAAAATAGCACAAAAAGAAGGCTTTAACCTGTAATAAAAACTAGAAATAAAATTCCAATAATATATTTCCCCTCTTTACAAC